TTTTAGATGAACATGTTGTTACATTTTTCATTGCTTAGTGTACATTTATACATTTATCTCTCTACTTTTGTGAAATCAGTTAAATTTTAAGATGTTATATGCTTTTTTTCACCTGCTTTTAAAGCCTTAGTTTCATCAAACATTCTCAGAATCAGTTGTATAGGAACAGAACATGGCCCACTGATTAGCGTGCTGAACTGTAGATCTACGGGTCTATGGTTTACGTCTCGTTAACGAAAAAACATCGCACTCAGCACTTTGGAGCTGTAGATGAGCTATAAGCATGACAGTCAAATTACACTATTCAATCACACGGGAAAAGCCCAAGAGTTAGCGGTGGGCGTTGCTTGGCTAGCTGTCTCTCCTCTAGTCTATCAGGCTCAAATTGAGATAGCTAGTGCAGATAGTCTGGCCTGGTTAGGGCGCTTGTCTTGCAGCCTGCGGATCGCGGGCTGGAATCCCCATCGCCAAACATCCTGGCTCTTTCACCCTTGGGGGCGTTATACTCTGACGGTCAATCCCACTATTCGTTGGTAAAAGAGTAGCCCACGAGTTGGCGGTGAGTGGTGTTGACTAGCTGCCTTCCCTGCAACCTATCACTGCTAAATTAGGGACGGCTAGTTCATATAGCTCTCATGTAGCTTTACACGAAATTCAACAAAACAAACCACTCCTTAGGATATTAGTAGATTCTCGCAAACTATACGAAAACACGCAAGCTTTCGTATACAAAAAAAGTCTTCATGTGATCGGAATCTTGTAAAAACGTTAGTTAATTAAAATTTCTCCCATCAACAGGAGTTAGGCAGTTATGAAACTTAAGTTGTTGTTTTGTTTTTGTTTTTTATTCTGGTGATAATTAAATTATTGATATCTGCTATTTTTAATCTGAGCGACAACTTATATAAATCATATGCTAAACGAATGGCCAGGCCAGAGACCACTAAGGTTCAGTCATAGAACTACTGACCAAAGAGAGAGCAACTAGTCAACAACACTCGCTGCTTGCACATCTACACTTAAACGAAAGTTCGGAGCACACTCGCCAACACAGTGCTGATACAAAAACTGGTTTTCAACCAGTTTATTTTATTTTTATTCATTTTCAGCCCCAATCCTGCTACGTGCCTTTGAGGCATCTTGGATGCTAATGCATCATAGATGATTCTTGAGCAGATTTTACCTGGTGGCGCCATCTCTTCAAGTAGCCGTCCCTAATTTAGTAGTAAAATACTAGATGGAAGAAAGTTCATCACCTACAGCCAACTCTTCGGCTACTCTTTTACCAACGAATAGTGAGTTTGACCGTTACATTATAACACCACCACGGCTGAAAGGGAGAACATGTTCAGCGACGGAGATTCGGACCCAATACTTGCAGATTGCGAATCGAGCATCCTAATCATCAGGCCTATATGCTAAACAAAAATTTTCAACGTGACCAACAGTGTCAAGTGATACGCTCAGTCTCACAAACATATTTTTAGAATCATGAAACAAGTAGTATTTTCAACATGAAAAACGAATGTGTTAATTGTTAGATTAATCTGTAAAACCTACTTATGCCGAGAATAACCATAACCCTATATTTTAGTTCAGTAACGTTCTTTTTCCACAAACATTACTTTCGATGTATGTATACAAAAGCTGAATTTGATGTTATTCAGTTTAAATATTCTAAGTACAAGCTTCACTCACCTGTAGTACTATTATTTATTACCAATTTTCAAAATTTTTCTAAGTATTTGTATTTCTTGAAACACGTTTTCTTGGTGAAACGTGCTTTCGTAAATTAGTTCTTCAAAGCGATTAATTTTAGTTCATGGGCCAACTCTAAAGAAAACAACATGGAAATGTTGTAATTTTAGTCTGTGTGAAAGTATATAATAAAAATAACTTTATAAAATCCATTTCGTGTCTAACTAACTTATGAAAACATTTGTCAAATAAAGGTAACAATATCAATGTTAACCATTAAGTTACCGACTTATTTTGAAACTGTTCTCTACCGATGGTTTCACATATTGCAGTATATTAGGACATTTTATGTTTTCTCTATTGTATCACTCAAGTTAAAGAACTGACCAAATAATGTTTATGTAAGATACATAGAGGTCCCCAGCAGTAATCAGCAGAACTATCTGCAATATTGACGGTATTTTTCTGTTTAAAATTTTTGAGTGATTATTATGTTATTAGAAACCCTGCAATCACAAAGTAATGGATCCACAAGCAATTTGATGTATAAATAGCTTAAAAAATACATTTAAAAAGATGATGAGGTCAGGACCCCATCAGTAATTTGGGGTTAAATTAAAGGCCAATAAATGTTGTCAGTAATGACCTTTACAGATCTTCAGGAGTGAATCAGTATACTTACAGATCTTCAGGAGTGAATCAGTATACTTACAGATCTTCAGGAGTGAATCAGTATACTTACAGATCTTCAGGAGTGAATTAGTTTCATCTTGTTTTCGCTTTTGTTTCGAGGCACTTATACTGATTCACTCCTGAAGATCTGTAAGTATACTGATTCTTTCTATCAGCTGGCCTTAACCTACATATTAAAATTATGAGAGGCTAGGGGAGAGTATGTGCTGCATTCTCCTTTGAAACACTTTCTCACCATATATCATGTAAGGAATTCTGAATAGTTCCTAACGTCTCTACCAGGTGGTGACACCCCAGAAACTTGGATATGTGGACTTACATCACGCACTAGAGAATGTGAAAGTTTCTCAAGACTACGATGTTCCGAGGAGTTTTGGCTCAATACAGACAAAAGAAACTAAATGTGGAGATTTCCTTAAGAGTCCATACGGTAGGTTCAATTAAAGGTAAAAAATAACGTTACTAGCGAAGACAATGCATTCTAATCATTATAGGTTTTAATTTTCTTGTGTATTGAGATCCGACAGTAAGCACTTCTAATCAATTTGTTATACAGAATTGGCTTCATTAATTTGATCAGAAGCTGTTAATAACTAACATTATAGAGCTTCGTGGCTTTTCCGAAATACAATTCAATGTAAAATATGTCATTTGTGTATAAACAAAGGAAAATATAAAAGATTTATAGCAACTGAAAAAGTAATGTGAGTTTCTCGTTTGATTAAAAACTCGCCGGTTTTTTTACTCTAAAGACGCCATACTTCCAACTGCGGCAGTTCACGTATAAAAGAAACCTAAAAATTACAATAGTCATTCCTCACTTAAAAGCTTTGTTATTGAATTTTTATTTCTTGGAGCTATAAATACATTTTTTTTAATCAATAAAATTGTTTTTAGAATAGAATAATATATGAGGTTAAACTACTTAAGAATATCTTGAACGAAAGATTTTATGTTACCACATGTTACATATGTTACATTAAAGAAGTAGAAAGAACACGTTAATTTACGCATTATATAAGTCAATGCAAGTAAATAATGGATTGAACTACATAATAATAAATCCAATATTAGTGTAGTATCAGACGAATTCACAAAACAGGCAAACCTGTGGTTTATATAACATGCAATACTTTTTTTTTTGGAAGTAAGCTTTAATTATAGGTAAGTTACAGGTTAAATGTTGAACACACGTGATAATTATTTTCACAGCCATTTATAATATAAATTTAACTGGGTTGATCTGAAACAAACCACACAAGAGAAAGCGTGACATCGATGACATTTTCTGTCCATTTTTCCTTCATTGTGATAAATAATTGTAGTTTTAGTTTATTGTTCCAAATCCTGGCTTAAAAGCTATTTCGTTAAAACTTTCTGTATTATATTAAATAGTTCTAACATTAGTGTATGTGTGCATTTAGAAATCAAAATCATTACGATATTTGTTTTTATAGGCGACTACGACACTCCTACAAACACTCGTGTTTCGTACGACTTGCCTGTCACCGAGGAGACATGTAAACTTGAATCAGCAGAAAACAATGGATTAGATGTATATGACATCCCTCGTAGTGCTGCGGACCTCTATGATTTTCTACAAGTCAATAAATATGACGATCCTGATTGGCTATTGCAGCCTGCTAAGCCATTCTTAAGAGAAGGAATTGGTGACTATGACATTCCAACATCGTATCCTCGACCCGTGTACAATACAAAGGATGTGCCACTTGATTGTGACACCAGATCCGGTATGGCTTCACCTCTTTCACTAAGTTCATCCTCCCCCAATTCTACAAAGAGCAGTTATTCTAGTCTATGTACCTATTTGTCCAATCGGTGTAGTATGGAAGATAAACATGAACTGTATGACATTCCATTCAGAGATCCACGCCATGTCAATATTAAGCCTTCTCCACAGTCCTTTCTTACAAATGACTCAGATTCACTTCTGCCACAGACAGAACCTCTCTGTAATGTTTCTCAATATAATATGTTGTCTAACCGACAAACAAGTCCAGAAGAAACAATGCAGATCCACATCCAAGGCTTGTACGATGTTCCTCCTCGAGTCACTCGAGATCCTAGCTTTGCTGTAAGCACTGAAGAGTCTAGCAGCAGGCAATCCGCTTCTAATGAAGAATTACAAACTTTACTATCAAGGTGTATTGTGGGAAAAGAGCTTCCTCTAGAACGTCATACTGCTATTGAACTATGCACCAAAAGATATGAAGACGTACATTCTGCAATACAAATGTTATTTAGCTGTGTTAATGATAAGCGAAACATCCGTTCAGTTTGTAAGAAACTCAAAACAACGATTCATGAGTTTATTGAACTAGCTCTTGGTGCTCTATCTAACTGTACGCATTCTTCAGACAAAGGTCTAAGTACAAAACTGGCTAAACTTCTGAAACCTTTGGTAGAATCGAGCTCGTACATAGAAGGAACTATAGACATGGAGTCCTACACTTCAGAAGAACTTGATAAGCTAGTTGTTTGTGCTTGTAGCCTCATAGAAGACGTTAAGCTTGTAGCTTGTTTTATACGCAGCAATTCTTCGTTGATATTCAAAAGATCAAATAATGAAATTTATGATAAAACTGCAGTACGCACAATTGCAAATGATTTCTGTAACTCAGGCAGCACAAATAAAGAATCTATGCAAGTAGGACCCAGTGAATCTTTTACAGGCTTAGTTCTTGAAGATCAGAAGACAGACCAGGAATGGTTAAAACAATACGATTATGTAAAGTTTGAACATGGAGGCATGAGTAAAAAAGAAAATAGGGAAACAGAAAATGCTACAGTGAGGGAAGTAAAAAATCCGTATGATAACCATACAAAATACTTCACAGATCTTGTTCGAAAAGAAATGCCTAAAAATATAAGAAGTAAGAACAATTTTCAAGTTGATGAGAATGGCTTAGATTCAAATGAACTTCAGCTGTTACATTTTTATAAATATCAAGTTGAAGCAGAAAACGTTCGTTTTACAAATTCGATCGATACCTTTTTGGTTACCATAAGAAATAAACAACCACCAAAGATTTTCCTTCAACATTGTAAGTCTGTAATTATTAGCGCAAGTAGGTTAGTGTATATTGGAGATACAGTCCATAAGAACGTGAATGACTCAACCATTAAAACCAGTGTTTTTCAAAAATCTAATAGCCTTTGGGATTCCATAAAATATTTCGTAACAAGCGCTAAAAAGGCAGCTTCGATATTTCCTTCTGCTGTCGCTATCCAAGAAATGGTAGAAAGTGTTGTTGAGGTGTCAAATAAAGCAAACGATCTCAAAGCAATTATTGGAAACATTTGTTAATTTTAGTAAAAGTCTTCAGGCTTGAAATGTACAATATATTTTACTGAAATGATTATATATATGTGTGGGTGGGTGGTTGGTTTGTTAATGCACTTTATGCTTTAAAATATTCGTTATAGAATGAGGCATACAGTCGAAACAGCTACACCGTTATAGTTGGTTTGATTTTGTAAAATTACTATTATACTATTATATGTAGACTTCTAGCGTGATGTACATTAACTGTTTTTATAAATAACTAATATTATAACTATTCATATTTCCATTATGATAGGTTGTTGGTAGATTCGAATTAAAAGTATAGTGTACTGTATATATGTTTTATTCGATTTCTGAGTGTTATCACTTTTGGTATCTTTCGTTTTACTTGCAAACTATTATTCTAGTGAAATATTTGAATTAAACTACATAATGTAAACATATATCCATGAAACTAATATTTACAATTTTTACAGTTAGATTTTTGTTAAATTAACTTAATAGGAAACAAGAAAATGGGTTGAATAATTGATTTATATATATATTTAAAAGCTCTGTTAATTTCAAAGCGATTATATGCTTCCTAATATATACGTTTTTAATTGCTTTCATTAGTTTTAATTCTGAAGTTAAATTTTATGCTATAGAAAATTAAAATCAGTTATAAATTAGTAAGGAAATCTTTATACTAAAGCATAAAAGTTTTTTAAATATAAAAAACGCTGTTTCAACCAAATATTTTAGACTACATTGGTAAACTGTTTTACTGTAAAACTACATTGTTAAAATGTTTTACTGTAAAACTACATTGGTAAATTGTTTTACTGTAAATTTAGTGAACCATCAAAAACATATGGTTGATATATTTCAAACTTATTTTTTATACCATATATTTGTTTTCTAAAATACAAGTTTCTTTCTTATGATGTGCAAAGAGTTAAAGTATTGATTTTTCTGATTTAAATGCTGTTGTTTTTATTGTTCAAGCTTAGAAATTTCTATAATAAAAGTCTTTTTCAGTTTATACATTATCTTCTGTCTATTTTTTATGGTCGCATGCATTGTAGAATTTGAATAATCGTCGTTAATAAGATTGTAAGTGCGATACTGAAAAGAGAAATATTTGATGTAAAAAATTTGAAACAAGCAGATTTTTTGAGACGTCTACTCATTTGCCAATTTTCATTCAAATTTACTTGCTCTAATAGAACTTTGTTTAAAAAAAGGATTTTCGTTTTATACAGGCCTATGCAGAGAGAATATTTTTTTCTCATTTCCGTACAGGTCATATATTAAAAGAAGTATTATGTGTGCATTTGCTCGTGCAATAATATATTTTTTTTCGTCCAATCAAATGGTAAGGAAGTCCTGATCCGCAAAGTGAAAAATTTAAATTTTAAGGTCTTATCTCGTACGTACGACATAGTTGTAAGTACTGGGGGTAATGCTTTGAAAATATGGCCCAAATATACTCTAAGTTCTGATTCACGAGAAGTCTATTTTCAATATACATTACGTTATTGTTATGGGTTTTGAAATATTCAAGGTACAGTAACATCAACGTGACTTCGAGGTGTTCAGTTCGAAACTTCAAATTGACGATCAAGTAACTATTATGAAACTGATGTGAAACCTAATTATGAAATGAACACACCAACTAATTGTTATTTATATAATTATCCATAAAATTAGACACATTTATTCTACAATTGATGCATTTAAAGGTACGACATAGTATATCGTACGTGCGAGATAAAAACCCTTATATTAATATTTTTATTTTTCACCATGCGGTTCAGGCTTCCGTAAAATGGTAAATTTACCTTATTCATTAATAATGCCCCCAGTGGCACAGCGGTATGTCTGTTTTACTTCAACACGTTATTATAAATTGTTCCTTTCCATAGTTTATGGAATTATTAATGATTGTTTGTTTGTTTGACGTTAAGCACAAAGCTACACAATGGGCTATCAGTGCTCTGCCCACCACGGGTATCGAAACCCGGTTTCTAGCGTTGTCAGTCCGCCGTTTGCTTATTGCTCCTCTTTACTGTTGTAAAATTAACTCATTGAAAATCATAATCACACTCTGAATAAGAACGACTACTTTTCTAAAATCTAGATATGTCTTTGTTTGGAATGCGATCAAGGAAAAGGACATTAATGCGACTTTAATGGTCAATAATCAATTAGACTCAAGGCATGTCATGTCAGGAATGTGTTCCATACGTGTATGTATTAAAAGTATGAGAACGCGTTGCAAACTTCCTTTACCAACAAAACTCGTAAAATATTGACAATAAATAAAGTTCATAGGATAATATATTCATAATTTGCAAGTATTCTGTAAATAAAGAATTTTGAATTAATGGGATTGTTCTTATTATGTATAGATATTGTAATGCACATATTTTTATTTCGTGTATTCTAGTGGAAATGTTTATATATATATTTGAATAAATATATTTAAATATATTTAAATCTATAAGTTTTCTGCTGATTCACCTATAGATGAAACCAGTATAAAACAAAACTAAATTGCATTTATTTTAGGCTTTACACAACATTTTTTGTTTGCTAAAAGGATGTTCAAAAACAGTACAGATACAAGTACGCGGAAAATGGGGATGTTGGGGGTACAGTCATACCTCCACATGCCAAGAGAGAAGAGTTATCCTGGTGTGGCCCAGTCTTCAGTCTCTCAAGCCTTGTCCATCCAGGTGTATGAGTGCACCACCAATCTCCCGAGTCTGTTAGGCCTATTGAAAACTATTAGCGACTTTATTGGTTCTTGAAGACGAATATAAGAAATGATACACAAGTACAAATTGTAGGACTCCTCATATGGTCCTTTCGAAGGATTAGCCAAAACTCTGCAGAGTGTAAGAGCAAGTGCCTTTGGCAGTAGTTATAACGTTACTATGGAGGCGGAAGTGGGAAAGGGGATGACGTCATATGTAATTAGTATCCAAAAGTAAATGATATGCAATTTAATAATTAATATCTAATTAATGATCTATGAATTAAATGTCAATTAGTTAATTAGATGATAATAAGTAAAAGATATGCAAATTGAAATAAATTAATATGCAGCTAATAATCAAGTATAATATCGAATAATTTTAAAAATTAATATGTAAGTCCTTCTTTAAGTGTTTCTGTTTGAAACTAATGGCATACAATTTTGAAATAGATTATTATTTCACTTATATAAAACTCCAATATGTTTTAAGCAGATATCATTATTACATGTTAGTTAAATAAAAGACATAATGACAATTCAAGATTTAGGTACACTATAATTAATAGAAATAAATAACACAGCATTACCTTTTAAGCATTCTTCTGTTTGCAATTAATGACATACAACACACAGTCAATTGAAATAAATAACAAAGCATTACCTTTACACATTCTTCTGTCTGTAAATAATGACATATGATGATTTATTCTTTCAACAATAATAAAACACACACATGGCTCTACTAAATACAGTCTACCACTACATCATGTTATATGGAGAACTTTTCAACTTTGACAAATTCTAAGGAGCACATACAATGTTCTTGATATACTTTAGCAGATTTCTAATCCTGGTAGCAACTTCTAGTGAAAGTGTGACAAAAACATGTTTCATCAGTACTACATCATCAGTATTTTAGTTTTCACTTCTAGATTTAATTATATACCCTAAAAAGTTTAAAGTTTAATATTATTTGAACAGACAGTTAGTATAGTTGAATACTACATCACATCATGGGTCAGTGGTGGTTTCAAGAATTACAGATACATATGCAATACATACTCTCATACAGTTGAGAAAGATGATTTTATTCAAATGTTACCAGCTTTCTCTGTAAATCTTCTACATTCGATGAGTTTAAAAATGTGGCCCCCAGTGGCAAAGCAGTATGTCTGTGGACTTACAATTCTAGAAACCCGGTTTCGATACCCGTGGTGGGCAGAGCACAGATAGCCCATTGTGTAGCTTTGTGCTTAATTCCAAACAAAACAAAATTAAAAATGTTTTAGAAAAATTAATTTCTAATTTCACTTAATTTCATGTGTATACTATATTCTGAATAAAAGAAAATATTAGAATTTCTATATATGTTTGTTTAAGTTAATTCACAATAATGATTTGACCATTTGGACTACAATCGTTGATAAACCCATGAAAGGATCATTCTCATGAAAACGTCTTTCAACAAAATTAGGAAGAGACATATCGTTAATATTCTTATCAGAGCTAACTTTCTTTAACAGTTTGTGTTTCAACACATGTCTACAATGGTAATAGACATAATATATACAACTAATGAAAGTACCCAGCTTCACTCAGGCTATTAGGTTGATATATTCTAGATGACTATGTCAATGTGTGTATTCTGAACCCATTTTAGCATAAAAGTAAAACTTATATACTTTTGTGACTAAGCAACATGACATAAAAGCCATTTTTGGAATGCATTGGTTACCAAAATGCACTGGCTTTTCTATATATTAGAAGTTGTTATATAAGGAACCACTTTTTCTGTATGTGGTTTGTTGCTAGCTTGCCTCTTTAAAGAGATTTGCATGCATGTGGATAAGATAAGTAATACCCAGGTGCACACTCTCAGGGTGCATTTAGTATGGGGGCAAAATTTCAGGTTTCTAGGTTCTTTCCTCTTGGAGCTATGGCGGTAACACACATGTATGTCTATCTGTCTGTCTGTGATTTATATTTGTAATATAAGGAACCACTTCTTTTCTATGTGATTTTTCGCTAACTTGCCTCATTAAAAAAGATGCTCACGTGCATGCGCACATGCACGTGGATAAGATAAGTAATAATACTCAGCGAAAGTACCCAGTTTCGCTCGGGTTTTTAGGTTGATTACTTTTAGCAAGTGCATAAAATTTATATGAAAGTAAAAATATCAATCCAATTTTAAACTCAAATCGTTTCTGAATTAAGGTATTTTCTGTTATATCACCAACTTTTTAAATAAAAACAAATCTCTTTAATCAATGGAGACTCTAAAGTAAGAAATCAACAAACATTTTTCCAGTTTTGTTGTTTATACATTTCATTTTATACTTTCAGTACATAGATTAACAACAATATTAGGTTATAATTTTGTTGCTATTGTTGGAACGCATTGCTACCAAAATGCACTGACCTTTATATTAGAAGTTGTTAATCTTAACTGATATACTACAGGGTATACTATGGGGCATGCATGCACGCACGCACATAAATAATAATAATTCCCAGGTGCAAACTCTCAGGGTCCACTTAGTGTGGGTGCAAAATTTCAGGTTTCTAGCTTCTTTCCTCTTGGATCGATGGTGGTCACACATACACAGATATGCACGTGCATGTCTGTCTGTCTGTCTGTGGTTTCTATTATATGTAGTTTTTTGCTATCTTGCCTTGTTAAAAAGATGCGCATGTATGCATGCACATGGATAAGATAAGTAAAATACCCAGTTGCACACCCTCAAGTTCCACCTTAGTATGGGTGGAAAATTTTAGGTTTCTAGGTT